CAAAAGCATCTTTGTAAAGTAACTGCTTAAGTAAGTTGAAGATATTACAGCGAAAAGCAGTGGGGGAAATGCAATCGGCATCTTTTGAATGTGACTTCTTGGCGATTGATCGTGGAAAGTGGTTTCCTTTTCAATCTGTAAAGCATAACAACACATCGAAAATACAGTCATTAAAAGAAGTTTTTCTTAAGAAGAAGATTTTTTCTGAGCTACGTGATTTTTTAAGGACAACCGAAGGACTAAACAACCTTTGATTTTTGCTGTTTTCTCGGCACAAGTGTGATCTTAACATGTTGAACGGAAATCGTAAAAATACAAGCAGTGAGCATTGGCGGTATGGACAACAGCCAGTTCATTACAACCCTTTTGGGCAGGATTGTTTTGCTATTTAATGTAAGTAAACGATTCTTAATACATGTAATGCCTTTTGGTCCTATATAAATTCATTTTAGTTTTGGATTGAAAGTGTTGGTTTTCAAAATGAGAATCATTGCTCGATCAGTATAAACAAGTTCTCTTGACAGCATGTTTGTAGGTTGTCGGTAGATTGTAGTCATGTCGGTTTAACTGGGAAAAAAGTCTTTTTCAAAAAAGATTTCAAAATGGATATAATAAAGTGGTAATTGAACTTCGTGTCGTGCAATTTTGGTCTGAAATCAAACTTGCGATTTTGTAATCGCACGTTTGATTTCAGACCAAATTGCACTCCACTCAGTTCAATTACCATCATAAATCAAACCATTGTAGATTTGATGGACGGAAGCCAAAACACGAGAAAACGTATGGAGTTTTCTGAGTATCAAATTTTTGGAGAACATTCTGGATTAGCATTGTTGTAATTATGTTTACAACATGACAGGCCGCATCGCATCGGCTATACAATCACGAGCCGGGGACGAGCTCAGCATGATCATGTGATGCTAGTCTAAGAAACTAAAGGACCACGTTAAAAAGTCCCATCATTTTGACCTTGAAGTTGTGAGGTTCAAGGAATAGAGACCTTTAGCATTGGGTTTACTGCTAAACGCTAACCTGTAACCGCTAGGAACCAGGCCCCGAAAAACGCCCGCAAACACTGAGAAACACTCACTGACGTCGAACTGCAGTTTGAGGTTTGCGGGGCTCGCAAGAACGTATTGCTAAAGGTCTTTAAT